TCAATGAATGTAATGTAATGTTGCCATATCATATTTTCCATTCTCTTAAAAAATTTCTGAAGACGGAAAGCAAAAAAATCCTAGCATTTATCGACCTAATAACTTACTTACAAGTTGTAGCAAAATTTTCAAAAGACGTTGTAGAAAGTGTTGTCCTTCATAAAAAAGCATAATACTATAAAACCAGAACAGTTTGGTTTCCATGAAAAGCATTCACATATCCCTGCAGTTTTACGCGCTTCTGAGTTTATGCGAAAAACAAAAGAACAAAAAAGTATGGGCTTGGCTCTTTTTATAGACTTACGGAAAGCATTTGGTACAGTTTGTCATTCATTTAAAAAAAAATTGAGCACTTGTGGGTTTCGTGAAAAATTTACTTTGTTAATTTCAAACTATTTATCAAATAGACAGCAGTATCTTGAAAATTAAAAAGGAACTTTGAGTAAACAAAAAATTGCGTTTGGAGTGCCATAGGCCTCTAACTTTCTTATTTTTGCCAATGATATTATTAAAATTGTTGCGAAATCCGAGTCGAGTGTTTTTGCAGACGATACTCCCTCTCTTTAATTTTTTAAACCACGAATTAAATTAGATTTTAAAATTGATCTGAAAAAGACCCATGACTTGTGCGTGCGAGACAAACTGTCAATCAAACTAACAATCTTGATGTCAGATTTACCAGATTAGATTGAAATATTTTCAGTTGACCAATTTCAAAGTCTTTTCATATACTCAAAAACAATTATATTATAGACAATGTTCATCTGATTGACATGCTTTTTTGATTTTTAATAGATCACTGTTTGTCGTTACTTAATTGTGATAGTAATTCCAGAGGCTAGCTACTTGATAGGCTGAATAGCCTGTTCTAGCTATCTTGCTTCAGTGATTGATTTTTCTGTGATGTATCATCTACACTGTAACGAATCAATTGAATTGATTTCTTGTTTTTAACATTTTTTGACCAAATCACCTTATAGATAAGAATTTCTATCTCAAAATAAATTTGTTGTTTACTTGCAAAATTTCTTCGTTGAGTAACGGGGATTTAAAGATTGCTCATTTGGGCAATTTGGAAAAAAAATTTGCGTAAAAATTCTAATTTTAGTTAAGCCGTAGCGTAATGAGCTAATTAATTCTGCCGAAAATTTTTCGAATTGAACTTGGGTGATCTTCTTGTTTCAACTAACAGGTAAATAAAAGAGAAATGTAACAATTTGTACTTTACATTGCGCGTGGGGGAAGAATACCAAAAAATTCAACAAAGTAAACACCCTCTCGACAACATCCCGCAACCCCTCTCTCAAATCGATCTTAGGAGGGAAGTTGATTATTTATTTCTAAGTTGAAACTGCCTGGCAAGCACAATCAGGTTAGCTGCCTATCGAGCGATGTCAAAATGTATTATGTGGTTTTTTTTTCAAGGAAGCTTCGCTTCGCAACCTTCAACATTTTGAACATGCTGTTACTTAAAATAATGAGCTCTTAGTTTTTATTTAAGACAAACTAAAACTAAATGAACAGTTTTTTCTGTGTTCATCATCCTCAATTGAAATTGTGTCAAACATGAAGCGAGAGCTGATGTTCTTACGTGGGAGGTTCATCTTCTTCGCCTCCGCCTGAAACTCTTTGAAGCATCTCACCATTGTCAACATCACTGTGTTCTAAATATGAAAAAAAAAGTTGGCCATATGACAGAAGCTGCAATGAAACTTTTTATAGGTCGACTGAATTGATTTCCGGAGCGCTAATTTGAAATAATGTGACAAAATTTTTTGAAAAAGTAGGTCAAGAAGTCCCCTTTCAAGCACTTTTCGCAAAATTTTGACCAAAATATTGCGTTCTTATTAGCGCGCGCTTGCCTTCAAAATGAGTATATATGGGCGCTAAAGGCGTCTTCAGAAAAATTATATGGTTGGTTGGCCGAAAATGGATGCCATGAAATAATATCAAAAGGGGGACTCTTTGATTGTTGAGGGGTCAAATCCCGAAGGGGAGGGCCAGTTTAAATCGCAATACAACGTCTAAAAAGTTCAACTGCCTAAATTTGATTTCCAGAGTTTATTGAAAACTATTTTTCTTATATTTTGAGTGCTTTTTCCAGGTTTAGGTAAATTCCAGAAGTTTTACCAGTTTCGGCTGGGTTTTGGTATCAAAATCATAATTCGTGCTTGAAGTAATTTTTCTCTACCTTGGACTGTACGGGTGATCGACGCATCAGAACACGTAGAGAGCTATCACCTCTGCTGTTACCCCCTGAGATAGTTCGAAGCCAGTCAAATGATGCGGAGAGAATTTGCGCCGAGTTATTCCCAAAGCTTAAGCTAAAAGAGAAATTTTTAAACTGATACATCATCAACTATTTTAGCAAAAATAAATATGGGAGTTTTTGGGAGAAAAAAATTGGTGCAAAGTCTGTTATTCAGACTCAATTCAACATTTTGTAACGAGGTGAATGGAAAAAAAGGAGTGCCACGTATCTGATTTTACCCTAGCGATAAGCAAGGTTATTGCAACACGGTACTACACTTGTTTGGACGTTAGGAACATGGTATGCACCGTTGGACGTTAAGAAATGCAAAGTAATTTTTATATGTGCCGAAAGTTTACTTTTCTTTTATTTTTGTAATTTTTTTTTAACTTTCGTTGATTTTAAGTGAAAAAGATAATGTAACGTAAAAAAGTAACATGAAAATTTACAAATTAAACATTGAAAAAAGTCAAATTTTTTCTTAAGAAAATAATGTTTAGGCGTTTTAGGTCTTGTTATTTTAGGTCGCAACATTTGTTCATATGGTTGCGCGACCTGCTGTGATTATTGCGCTTGCAAACAGCAAGCGTTAGCAAATCGAAATATGTATTTCTTGGATTAATTTCTTTTAAAAAACGAACCCTATGCTAACTTTACTTCAATTGTATATCAAGTTGGAGATACTAATCTGGCCTGTTTAGTTTGGAGGTAACTTCCATGCTTGCGACGACTAATAGTAAGTAATGGGTTCGATACTGACCAGGAGCTGGTTTTTTCATATTTTTTTTTCGGCCTAAAATGGATCTGCTCAAGATTTGTCGGCTTGGTTACCACTTTGTAGGTTTTGTTTCGATGCTTATTTAACATTCAGTTTTTGAGAGTCAATGAACGCAGTTAAAATTTTTATATGGGTAGTATTGATTTTTTTGTTTTTTTTTTCAGGAAAAAATTTAAAATGCTCTAATTCATGTAATTGAATGAATATAATGTATGAATGCATGAATGCATGAATGTATAAATGTATGAATGTATGAAAGTATGAATGGTATAAGAACAAGTATATTTATTATTTTGCTCGGGAATCTGAAAGTTGTTTTCCACATTTGAAACGAGAAATCGATCACTTTTTCGTGATTATTACCATTTTCGTAATTTGAGAGCGCACCTTACCTAACTTTGAGCAGATGAAAACGAATCGAACTCAAATAGTGCATATCTACCTTTAAAAAAATTGCACTATTCGATTTCAATTCAATTTCATCTGCTAAAAGTTAAGTGAGTTGCACTCTCAAATTACGAAAGAAAAAAGATCATAAAAATATTGACCTCTAGTTTCAAAAATGGAATTCAATTCTTTAGCGAAAATAAATGTCAGTATGTTTTTCCTTTTTGATTGCTTTCATTGGATCGTTTACAAATATCTGATGGCCATGTTGTAGGTTCTTCACATGTTTTTTGAAGGACCGAATGAAGGTACTTAGTATAAATATTGGCCGAAGATGAGAACACAAATTTGGCAGAAATAAGCGAAATTTTTAAGTTGTCACTAAACGCCGGACCGCATTGGATTGGATTGCATTTTTTATCAGAAGGGTTTCGTTATAATCGAAGCAAAAAATTTCATTTCTTTCCATTTGTGTTGAACGGCAATTGATTCATTTTCATAATTGATTTTTAACTAGCTTTTGTTTTCAGCCCTTCGACCATGAGTCTTTCACTCATTCGGTCCTTCGCTCATGAAAATTGCCCCCTTTGATTTCACCAATCGAAAATGGTGCAATTATTTGTTCATTTTTTTCGATTATGTTCGGAAGAAGTTATTTTGTTTTTTTTCGGATTTTTTTTGCGCCGGCTTATCTTCCGGATAGTCGCCTTATTTGGTTTTGAGCAACAGTTCCGGATCTAATCATTCAACGCGTTGACGAAAATTTTAATAAAAGTCATCATGTTAAAACTTTTTTGGAAAAATTAAACAGAAACGTCAAAACAACGATTTTTATTTTTAATTTTTCGGCAGAGCAGCAAGTGCTTCTGCAGCAACTAATTTTTTGCAAGTCCAACATGATGTTGATGAATCTAAAATGTAAAATGGACTTAATAATTTTAAAAAATTCTTAAAATAATATTTTGGTTGATGTGTTGAGCCAACCTAGATTCTGGCGTTAGTTTGTCTGTCGCAGTTGCCACAATCTGGCTGAAAACTTTTGAGAGCAAACACAATTGCATTGTTGAGCGCACAATTGGTCAAAATAATTCACGGACCAATTGAATTATTGAATCGGCCAATAGGACCAATTGATAAAAAAAAAATCATCAACGGTTTCTAGTTAATCGATTGAGGTCTACCACAAAAATTCATATCTATTGGGCCGATTGAGGTCTGCTACAAATTTTTATGCCTGTTAATCTTTTTTCAGAAGTAATTAAGGAAAAATTGAACACTCAAAACGAACGTACATAAGTGTTAAAAACTGAAATTTTTAAGAATTTGTTCGTCAGAATAGTTAATTTGCTCTAGACAAAAAAACCGTAAAGTAGAACACCATAAACTTTCAAACAGGTTCGAATTGCTTTTAAAATTTTTGCGCTTCCCCGAGTCAAGTATTTAATTAGATAGACTTTAGGTGAATAATCTTTGGGTTCTAGTCTAGATTTTGAACCAATTTTGTTTATTCAAATCTAAGTAAGTTTATACCTTATCGAATTAAGATAGTTATTTGTCTACATTTCGTTTATTTGTAGCAACGACTGCTGTGCAGCACCCAAGTCCAATTTCTGACATTATTGCTCAAACCTCACTTTATTGTGTCATGAAAATGCGAGAACCGATCCTCGTGATTAAACTTATTTCATTGGACTTTTTAATAACACTCGTTTCACTATTGATTATATCATCAACCGCAGATGACTCTGCTGACTCGAGTAGCCGACAAACTCAAAGTCACACTAAGCCGAATATAGTGTTCATATTAGCCGATGATCTCGGTTGGAATGACGTTGGGTTCCATGGCAGTCGCCAGGTGCAGACCCCCCATCTGGACAGGCTGGCAGGGGAGGGGTTGATTCTGAATAATTACTATGCACAGCCCATGTGCACACCTAGTAGAGCTGCTTTAATGACAGGTGGGTCGCATCTATTGCAAGAAAAATATGGCATTGTCCAAATTTGAAGAATTTTTTCTCACACTTTTGCCGCAGTTATGAATAATATCAACTCCGTTTCCAAATAACAGTCATCTCTCGCGAAACTGATCTTCACAAAAAACAAAGCAACTATCATGCTTAACATAATCTTCCTCTTCTAGCCGACAAATAAATCTGTCGATCAGGCGCGGATCTAGGAACTTCTCGATTTCTTGAGGGGGGGGCGAATTTTCAAAAAAAATTTGAAAATTTTGTTGATCTTTTTTTTGTCGACTAAATTGATTTCCCAAGCTCTCCCAAACCACTATAAAGACACTAATTTGACGAAATTTTCTGAAATTCCGCAGACAAGTTTTTGAAAAAAGGCCAAAAAAAGGCGTTTTTAGGCTTTTTTTGGAAAACGTCGACCAAAAAATCGAGTTTTTTCGGCGCGCGCTCCCCCCTCAAAATTAGAATAAATTGGCGCCAGCAAATATTAGGGTCCGTCAGCAAATATGGATATCTCAAAATAGTACAAAGGGGGATCCTTTGGGTCGGCAGGGGGTCGAATCCCTGAGGGAGAGGGGCGTCCCCCCATCCCCCCTAACACCGCCGCTACTGAGTTATGACCGATGGGTATAACTCATAGAGTAATTTCGGATAGGGTACACCGTCTGCTCGTCACGCTATCTTATTTTCGGCCGGATAGATTCGTGCAACTTCTTAGTCTAATACCGATCCTAATCTTACTCTTATACTATCTAGTCTCAGGTTGTTTAACTAGTCTCTGCTAGGCTCAATAGATCTAGGGTATACTGGTTTATTGCGGCTGCTGAAGTACTCGGGAGAGTTCAACTAATTTCTAAGTTAAATTCAAATCTCTCTGGTGCTGAAATTAAAAGTAATTTCAGCACTTACAAATAAGTGGGTTGTTAGTTAGATGGATCATGATTGGTTAATATTAAATACTTTACATTGGTAAAATATCTAATTTATCCAATCATAAAATGTAGTTTAGATCAGGTTCCACCCATCCGGGTTTTACAGAGTTTTTTAGAATAGTTCTTCTGCAATTCGAAGGATGGATGATGGACGTTGGTATTTGGCGAACATCATAATTTTCTTCCGTTTCCTCTTTGTTAGAGAAGTTCCAGGAAGCTGGAGTTAGGGACATAAGACGTTGTGTCTTCTAGTGACAACGACTAAGTCTCCGCAACAAACTCAAATCTGATTTCAGAATGGTTGGCTATGTCAGGTTTTTCTGTTCTTCGTGGAGAACTTCTTTTGTGTCTGATCTAGTTTGGGAATGGCGTGGAGATTGTGCGTTGAAGGGATGCCTGGTTACTCGGATCTGTACGTATACTTGAACATCGAGGTGTTCATTGGTCTAGTTCAATGAAGTCCTTTTCTGCGAAGTCAAGTCGTACTCTAAATCCTTTGAGTTGTGATTGTGAGCGGCATATCGATTGTAGTTGGCCATTCTCTCTCGAGTGTAGTGGGGTCGTTTTGTCTTTAGATGTTCGTCCTTGGTGTTGTATTCTGATCTATGTATTGCATAATGTAATTTACATTTTATAAAACTTTTATTAGTTTAATATTTTTTAATTATGATTTTAGTTAGTTGTTTTCACAAAAGCTTTTTGTTTTAGTTCGGTTAATTTGAAGAGTTACTCACCCTTGAGTAGCTCTTATTAAAAATAGGAGTGTGGTCACAAAGCGTGGATGTAGCGCGGTGGGTTAGGCCGGCTATAGAGCATGCTCAGGACGTCCTTCCTGGTGGGTTATGCCAGGAGTGGGAGTATGATTTCATGCAGTTTTTGTGAGGGGTCCTGTTATGTGACAACGTTTTATGTTGGGTTTGTTGTGGTTTTTCTTATGTCTTGTTGGTTGTGTCCTTTTTTCAAAAATCAAATTGTTTGTGGTATGAGTTTGTCTATCGACTTTTTGTGTTTTATTATTTCTTTCTGAGACTTTATAATAGTCTTCAAAAGAATAAATTATCCAGTTTTAAACTGGGTTAATCCGGTTTGGGTACCGTTGGTTTCCTTTCCTTAGTCATGCTGTTATTCTATGATTTGTGGTATTTAGTAAGCTGCGTTGGTTAGTTTTGTTTAGTATATGATTCCTTTCCAACCGGGTTAAAGGAAAGTTTGAAACGTGTTATCTTGTGTTAGAGTTGTTGAGTGTGAAAACTTGAAACTGAAATTCATTATTTTAAACAATTCTTCGTGGGCGAGCTGTGCGAGTGTGGATAGAATTTCTGTGCGAATGAATGAAAATATCAAAAGGTTAGTTCTGCGTTTGCGTTTTATCAATTTACTACATAGAATTTTGAATTTTACTGCTTTTTATTGGAAAAAATTAAGTTACAAATTTTCATCATTATTAGATTTACTGCTTGGGGAAAAAATTTATAAATGAATTTACTGCTTGGTATTAAATTTATTAAATTTACGAGTGTAAAAGATTAATAGAATTTTGAAATTGTTTGAAGAAGTTTTCGATTTTTTATTTGTCTTTTGTGAATTTTTTAGATGATTGTCGGATGAAGGCTAAAAATCTAAAGAAAACATGGATAAAGAATGGTGAGTTTCTAATATTGTAATTAGTTAGTAGTATACATTTAATTCATACTTACCTGTTAGTCGTCGGGGAAAAAACCGTGGGGGAAGATGTCGTGGATGAGATCGGAAGTTGTTAGTAGTTTAGCTAAGATGCGGATGATATTTTTAGTCTGAAGCAGTGGCCAAAGCAATTGAAGTGCCTTAATGGTGGTTAGTTCTTCAGTGCCAACTGCAAACTCATAAGGTGTGTTTTGGATTAGATTATATAATTTGTGATTGAATTTAGTGTTGTGGATGAATTCTAAAATTGGGATTTCTATAGGTTCTACAAACTCGTGCGGGATAAGGAAGGGTCGGGATTCTTCGGCGTTGAAGGTCTTGGCGATGGGACAGAAGATATACATTTGGGTTATGGGACCATAATTGCGAAGAATACCATGAAGGTTAGTATCTTTAATGCAATATGTGAAATTTAGAAAAAATGGTGAAGTGTACTTGGAATTAATGAATTGAAAACGATGGTGTGGTTGTCTAGAGGGTGTGTGTAGGTCAAAGTGATTTTGGATGAAACGATAATAACTATATTTGTGGGTTTGTTTAGTGCGCAAAATAATATCGTGTGAGCAGTGTAAATCTTTTTCGTGTGGTGCAAGGAAATGAAAGGTTAGTGAAAATATTTGGAAGCGTTCTTTAAAACTTTCGTATGCTTGTGTGTCTGTTAGTGCTTCTGAAATAATGTGGTCAAACTTACGATCGAAGATGTTTAATGTAAATACATATGGTGTCTTGATGAAAAATTTCTCGGTGATTTGTGGATTAGCGAAGCGATCGTCGTCTAAGAATTGATCTTGGTTAGCTGTGATGATGTTGTGATCATAGTATTCTAGTGTATATTCATTAGCTCTAGGTGCAGTGTGTGTTTTTAGTGATTTTTTATATCCAACGTAAGTAAATTGTCTAGTGGTTAGTGGTGTAGTGAGTCGATATAGCATGTCCTTATTTCGCTCTATTTCGATGTGAGTGCTAGATAAAGGTAAGCAAAGGGGATTAGTAAAATAATAATATGAGGTCCAAGAGAGAGTGGGCATTAAAACGTATTCGTCTACAAAGCTGCGTGTTTCGTTAGTGTCGTGAGGGGTGTTTAAGGTGTATTGTGGGAATGAGGGTAAGGTGATAGCTAAAAATTCTTTTGTGTTAGTGTGCTTGGGATGGTTGATGTATTCACGGGCTGTTCCTGGTTTTGCTGGGAAAGGATGGTTGGGGAACTTTCTTTTAAAAGTGCGGTAAGCTCTATTAGTGTTGAGTGAAGATTCAGTAGATGTGGATGATGGTGCTAATGATTCAGTATAATTTGAAGAGGGTGTAGGGGTAGGGGGTTGGATGAATCTATTGTGGAAGAGATTTGGTTTATGGTTGGGGTGTGAAGGTGGTAGGGTTGTTGTTGGAGGGTAATAAAATTATCTAGCTCTGGGGAGATTCGGGGGGTGTCTGGAGAATGAGATGATTGGTCAGAATGAAATGAGGAGTAGGTTGGGGTAACTTGGGAAGCATAAGAGGGTGTAGAATTGATTGGGTCAGGGTTATTTGATAATATAGGTTGAAAAGGGGGTTGAGAAAAATTTGAAGAGTAATGAAAATTATTGGATGGGGATGGTTCTGAATCGGCGAATTCATCGGGGGTTTCAATATTCGGGTTATTGAGTTGTGAGGTGGAGTATAAAACTGAGATGTGTGAATTAGTGTCGGAATTCATGCCTGATGTTACATTACTAGGTGGGAAATTGGGTGGCGGAAAAGCAAAAAGTGGTATTATTGGGATTGGAGAGGTGAGGTTGGTTGGGTGGGAATTTGATCGGTGTAGGGATCCAAGTTGTCGGCTCATCGTGGGCTAAAAAAATGATTATTTTGAGACTGAAAAGCGGTGGTATGGGGTTGTTCAATAATTTGTTCATAAGTATTATCATCCTGTGACTGGTGTGTCATTATATGTTGGATGGGACTTTGTGATGTGGTTGGTCGAAAATTTGGATTATGTGTGATTGCTAAATTTCGAAAATTTCGTGGGACTAGGGATAGTGGATGGTTATGTGGTAGGGGTGGTAATTGTGGTGCCGTTGGCGTTGTGTCTACATTGTTATGTTCTTCGTCGTATGTGTTCTCTCGTGTTGCTATTTTTGTGTTGTATTCTTTTATTTGTGCGTCTAAAAGAATTTTGTTTATAGATGTAGAAAAGATTCCAAAAAATCCTGCAAAGAGTATGCGTGCTACGCTTGCTTGTCTATTTACTTGTGTGTGTATAGCACATGTGTTGTAAATTCCTTTTAAAAGTGAGAAAAGAAATCCAATAAAGTTAAACATTGCGTATAAAATAGTCAATTTTTCTAAGATGTAGTAGGGCCATCCTAGAAAGTCAAGAAATTCATTTTTGAGTGTAAC